ACGTATCAAAATAGCCAGTCTTCACAACTTGCGGAGTTCAAGCTTGAGTTGCATCGAATCCTTGGCGCACTTGAGCACCACTGAAGCCTTGTTGGCTGAGTTGCATTCCACTGAACGCAATCTCACCGTTAGCATTCATAGAGTAAGGGACAGTAACAGTGCCGCCACCCAGTTGCTCCAATCTGATTAAGATTGAGCATCTTCCCATAGTCGACATATTGATCCTGATTCTTCCATTGGATCTTTGGTAGCAGTCTGTCTGGGCATTTTGGAGACATATGGTCTTTGTTGCCACACACATAACATGCTGCCTTCTTCTTTCCATCCTTCGGTTTTCCTTTTCCTTTACCTTTACCTTTATTAGGTTGGTTCTTTCCTTGGTACAGGTTCACTCCCGGATTTCTAATCACATCCATGTGAATCTTCAACATATCTTGTGCTTTGCTGACCGTCTTTGGATAATAATCCACTTCCCTGCAGTAGTTCATCTGAAGATCCAGCATCAGAGGAGCTGTTCTTGTTTGATCACAATTGAACAGGAATCCTGTTGCAAGAACAGTCGCAAGATCTAAACAGCCTTGTCGAAAAGGGTGTACAAGGAGGCGCCCCCGCCTGGTACACGGGATGGCCCAAGGAACAGGTGAACAAATTTAATTTTTGGCATCGTCCAATGATTCTGTACACAATGGTTGGCGAAAAGAAAGAGCAGCATTTCGATAAATTGTACGTGCTGGACCATGACGTTCTGGAGAACGGGAGCGACCCACTCGCATTCTCTTGGCTGGCAAAGGCCTTCTCAAAAACCGATCCGGTTAAGGTTCCGAAGTTGGAGGCATGGTTGATAAACGAGGAGCTCGAGCAGGATCACTCCAAGTTGTTCGTGATGGAGGATATTGTTGGGATATGAGGAAATATGAGTTTTTACGTTCCAAAAGAAACTATTCAAGTACAAGGTTTTTGACACCTGCGATCCGACTTTGATCGTGATGTCGGGATTCGACGCAAGTCTGCCGGACGCAAGTCTGTTGGACAATCTATATCCACACAAAAAGGGGAAGACCCTATACAAGTGAAATAATGATGTTGTGTAGGATGCAGTAGGGAATAATGCAAGATGTCCCAAAGTACTGCATTCAACACAGAATTGTCGTAGAAGTCGAATGGAGTTCTGTAAACAAGGGATTTTCCAAGGGAAAATTGTTGAACTCACTTTTGTGATTGAATCATCAATTCAAGCCAAACATTAATCAAATAGGAACAATTTCACTCAAAGTATACCTAACACAGGAGAACTATTGTTGTGAAAGTGTTGTACAGTCGATTACGAATTTAGATTGCAGAGAGTTTGTTCTGAGCGCTAAAGGCACTCATGATAGAGTACATTTTGCTTTATTCTAACAGATATCACTGACAAAGATCCTGAGACGGCTTACGACCTACTGGTTACACGCAAGCAAATGCCCATTCCCAAGGAGTTCTTGGTTATCGCTTGGGACGGATCGTCGGCACGCGAAGTCTTGCGATTGGTGATTGACAGAATCAAGATTCTTACCAACAGCGAGGAGCCTGAAAAAATTTCGGAAGTGCATGAGAAGTTCCGGCACTTCGTGGACCATTGGCGCGTGGCAAACACGGTCATCGGGAGAGATCAGCTTTCAAAGAACGTCGGAGAACCTGCTGTTCTCACTGCGACATCTGCCCGACGTTGGGTTTCTGGAGTAATCAATTCGGATTTCGCCAGATTGGACTCGGAGGACTCAATTGGAGATTCCCCCGACAAGACCTACAAACTGCTCACCAAGACCTTGGCAGCCGTTGAGGAGAGTAATAAGACGACCAAGACCTCCGTGGAATCGCTTTCGGAGGTTGTGGTAGCGGGCATCCATGGACAAGCATCGGACAAGGCGCCCCCAAATACAGTGGAAAAGAAGTGGCCCACAAGACTCTCCTATCTGAAGAGAGTTGCTGGTACTACGACCTCAGATCAGCTTCCCACCCTCTGGCACGAGCTAGCAAAGTGTAAGAAGCACGAATCAATTGGAATTGTGCAGTCCCTGCTGGACGATGAGGCCGAGAAACTGAACCTCAATCTGGAATTCATCGTTTCAGCCCGAGTAATCAAGAGCCTGGTGGAATTGGAATTTTGTTCGCGCGGCGACGTTGAAAAGGGTTTGAACGTGTTTAATAGTGTCTGTTTCCAGCACTACAAAAATGCAAACGCGATCAACGATTACAACAAGAGCGATTATTGGTTGACGGGCAAAAAGACGACCGCTTCAATGAAGGATCATCAAGCCCACGACAAGATCAAGCATGCTATCTTCCCAAAGGATCCCATGGAGTTCCGTGAGATGGTCAATGGTATGCGGGTATTCTACCGTGTAGTGTTTGGGAAAACTCATCCACTGACAGCCGTGTACAAAAAGTTTGCAAAGAATGTGGATTCAATCGCACGAAAAATGGGAGTGTCCTAGCAGGAACGAGCACTCGAGCGATTTCTCTTCGGAATCTATTCCCGAATTGATCGATACTTTGAGCGTTTGGTAAGATCCGGCACGAACGCAGAAGAAAACCTACCCGACTTGGGCACCTACATGGAGACATGCTACCATGGAGGAAGCCTACCAGAGTCAAACTTGTTTGTCGTCGCCAAGAACTCTGTCGGACTTGGTGGCACAGGAGACAAGACTGAGAGTCAGCTGAAGAGAGAGAAGGAAAGGGCCCAGAAGAAGAGCCTGGGCGAATCAGTAAAAAATCCTGACATGAACAAAGAACATCGCTACACCGGAAGAACTACTACTGAGTTAATCAAACGGACAGGCGAACAGCCTCCAAAGCAAGCCAACGGACAGGAACTGTGCCTCATTTGGCACACAAAGGGCGAATGCAAGGAGAACTGTGAACGTAAGCATTCCCATTGTAAGCTGGCTGACGAGGAAGCAACCGCAATGAAGGATTATGTAAATAAGAATAAGTGAGATGGAGGCCGGGAATCATCGGATTCTTGCAGGCCATCTCAATCGGACCCACTTTCGTTACGATCTACTTTACTTGGAAGTAGTGCTAATACTATAGGTGAGCTGGTTGCGTTGGCTAATGAAACTTATTTAAAACATGGTTGGCAAGTCACTGCTCGTTTATTCCGTTCAGATGATGCTGCACCAGATATTGATAAGCTTCGGCACCCTGCCGCACCAATGCTACACCGAGTAATGAAAAATGGGGCTCCTGTGGTGGTTCATTCGGAGCCATGGAGCCAGAGCCAGCTCGACATGCGAGTCGCTCGGGGCTGTCACTCATCAGCAAACGAATTCAAAGACTTTCTGATGGAGGAGTTTTTGGATTTTGGAAGGAAGGGATTTTGGATCCTACTTCCATATGACGCCATCAAGGACGAGAAAGGACTTCGCCTTTCTCCAATTGGCTGCGTACCACAAGATAACAGAAGACCGCGGATGATTGTTGATTATTTGTTCTGGGGACTCAACGACGAGACAATGAAACTTGCCCGTCCTCGACAAGACCCAGTGAATTTGGCAGAGAAGAACCTTGGATTGTTGACCCATTCTTGCATGAGGCCGATGGGGTACTGGAAGTTGCAGAGACGCATCAAGTCTTTGCAGTACGGACCAATCGCCAATTCTTGTGGTAGCAACGTGAGGAAGCCAAGCCGGACCATGTCGGAAACCTGGATCGGAGTCGGGAAGACACCCGCCCGAGGCTCACTGGACAAGACGGAGCGAAGTTCTTGCATGAGAATGGGAGGGGCAGTGTCCATCCCGAACCGCATGCGAGTCTTGTAGGTCTTGGACCCAGTCTTCCCAGGTTTGTTGAGGATGTAAGGATTGCCGAAGTTGGGATCGAGGTAGATCTTCAGGTGGGCCCAATCCTTGGCTTTTTCGTCAAACTCCTTCAAGTTCCGGATCCACAGTTGTTGTTGGGTGAATCGGCCATCAGCAAAAGGTAGAAGGACGACCTTGGAAGTGATCTCGCCCCAAATACCGGAAGCAAACTGATGGAAGGCGTTGTAGGCAGTCTGGACTTGATTGAACTCGGACAAACCGGCGCCCTTCCAATCAAAGACAATGGACACGTTGGAGATGGTAATGTGCCGAAAGGGAGAGGCATTCCAATGGACAGCGAGAAGGCCATCAACCGTTTGTCAGTGGTGAGAGGAACCGTGGGAGTGGGGAGAGCGGCAACAGTGTCCCTGTAGGTCAGGGCACTATTGTGTTCCTCTGCTCCATTTTCCGCACTGGTCCTCCCACGGTGGGTGTTGGCTACCACGACGTCGTCAGCTGGAACACTGGCTTCCTGTGTTTCTGTTGGGGTGCCGGCGATGACATGAACGGCGTCAGACATGACCACTTGTTGGCGAGGAGGAGTGGCATCCAAAGGTGGAGTTCGTTGGTAGGGTTTGGACGGACCCTTTGGTGGCGTCAGTTCCGTTTGCATCGGGACAGAGGGAGACGGGCGCGAATCGTGTGCCTTGGCACCTTTTGGATTCTCTGGAGTCGATGCAGGGCGCTTCTTAGACTTGGACTGAGCTTTGGCTATTTTCGACTCTCGTTCTAGTCGCTCAAA